GGTGCACAAACAGTGCGATGCTTAGGTCCTGCTGTATGTATTGAATACAGAATAACTCTTTCCCTCTATGTATTGATTTATTGTGTTAAACCGTTCAAGTCATTGAAGAAGGCTCAACTTTTCCTGAAAACAGACTAGCATATTGCTGACCCCAGTGTTGTATTCAACTTGGGTCCTCGGCATTTTCATACGAAGCGCACTTCTGCAGGAAGCTTTTGTGCTGATAAACCCTGTGCCCAAAATATTTTTGTGCACACAAGACATGCGCCGGTAATAATATGGAGTTCTCAGAAGCGACGCACTGAATGTGCTGTTGTCGCGGCTCTACACACTACGAAACGCATAATAGGCGAGACCTGGGAAGATTTACGGCTGGCTGAGGTAGTAAAAACAACAAACTGCGGCGGCGTCACAGGCTTCTCAATCGGGCATAGCAGAGAGAAGGATGGTGCCTGTAGCGCTGACGGTCTAGTTAGAAACACCGCGGCGCTCGAAGGATTGCGTTCTCCAGCATGTGTGAACGTAAGATTAAGGCAGACTAGAAAAGAAGGGTGATATGGTGTAAGTCAATGGTATGTGGGTAGTGAAGTGCATTAGTGTACTCCGAACTCTGTAGCGGCCTCGCCCCTCACAGGCTTCGGCATTCTTAAAAATAGTAACCAGACACTATGATAAGTTGTAGGCGTTCTTAAATTTTTCAGCATCGGACTGGTTGGTAAAATCATTGTTATTGTACATTAGAAACTGCCCTCACCCACATAAGAGGGCAAAAGCTTCCGAGTATATTTGGTTGCTAAAGAGTTAGGCAGCCTTTTTGGTGCTCTACAGGCGTCTCCCCTATTCTTCACCATGCTTGTAGAACAGGACGAAACGCATCTTTTTAGTTCTGCGTTTTGTAGTCCAAGATTAGCTTGCTCTAGTTTTAACAGTGCGCGCTAGGCCCATTTTTTTAACTGCACTGATTTTAGTAGCTAAGGCACCACGCTTGGCCAAACATGCGACGCGCCCCGAAGGCCGCTGGCTCTTTGGGGAGTGATACGTTGGACTAGAAAGAACAAGCCTCACTATGTCTTAAAAAGGGCTTGGGAATTTGAAAACCAGATCAGGACAGGCTATCTGTCCCTCGCCGTCTCCTAGCCTCCTCTGCTCGACGCCTGCAGGCTCTTCCCACTTCCTCCTCCGTCTGCCTTTGGCGCAGTGCCGCTGCGCGCAGGCTATAGGGGCGTTCGTAAGCCCTAGTTTGTGTGAATCTTCATATAGTTGGCAGACCTGACAGCAATATCACATCAGTCACCTTTTCTTGGACGAAGCTCCCTGAAGCTTGCAAGGTAACTGGAATGCAACCTGAATAGTCGGAAAGGGGTCCCCTCTGCTTGAGGCTTAGCTCTATTATAACAGGACAATATGGTTTCCCAACGAAAGGCGCAGAGGCTTTGTCTCTACGAGAGAGGGCTTCCGGACCAGCCTTCACCTGTCGCGACATGTATAAAAAACTCTGGGCCCGTTTGACTTTACCAATGCATACACGAGCTCGCGCAAGCTATCCTTAAGCTGAGAAATGCAATGCAAATAGTGAGTCACTCGTGACGACGCCATCTGACAGTCATAGCGCTCCATTACAGTGCGGCCGAGAGCTGGCCTTCACCGTTGTTTACCTTGAGTACGTAGATCGGACAAATACACACAAACAATTATCATGCAAGACGTAACATGTGCTGCAGTTGCGCCAGCTTATGGATCACAAGAGACGCTGAAGCTTCGGTGCGCAGCACAGCCAGGGAGAAGACACGAGAGATATAGAGTTGCCCTCCCAGCACCTGGGCACTACTATGACTATGACCTGTGTAGCAAAACCGGAAGAGTTGCATAGGAGCAAAGCTGGGTTGAGGACACTACACTGGTCCCTAACTCATCCGCGGTTCCAGTGCGCAGATTCAATTCAGGTAAAAACTCAGGTAGCTGTTGCCCACTCTGGTTGTTGCAAGTAGACGTATAGCTAGAGCGGCAAAACAAGTTGCAGTAGGCTCATGGAACTGCACAAGAAGCAAGGCTAGTTGGGTTTGCGGGAATGGGATGGTGGAACCAGTAAACGAATAAATGTCTCGGAACATCACGCCAATAGCCAATATTAAATTAATCAACCCCAGCGGTTGCTAAAAAAACGGAACGCGCGAGAGCAATTAAAGCATCAAATACGACAGCAGCCACTGCAGCAGCAGCCGACTCATTAATAGCAACTTTGGCAGCAGCTGCAGTATAGGCCGGGAAAACAATTGCAGGGGTACGGTAGCGAGAATGACAGTATCTGCATCAGAATCGCAGCAGCACTCACAGCAACAACAACGACGAAAGCAAAAGCAGCACCAGAAACAGCAAAGGAAATACATGCCTAAGTTTGTCTACCTATACACGTATATACACAAGTGGGGGCAAGAGGTGAGAAGCAAGCTCTTTCGAGATCTAACAGTACACATTCATACATTTACATAAAGATTCTCCAAACATACATGCAAACGTATTAACATATCAGATCGCAGGCTTTTTGTCTCTTCGCCTACATGTATTCACGTAGGCGCAGGTCTGTACTTACGTATGCATGTGTTTCGACACATGCATGTGCTTGGGATCCTCTGCGGCCATAAATAAGCAGGACGATTAGCCTGTGCATTCCCTCTTTGCGGGGCGATCCCTCCATTTCTACAGCTCAGTGTGCAGTAATCTGAAAATGTTCATTTGTGTTATATCTGCCCCTTCAACGATGGACAAAAATGTTCACTCACGGTATCTGACAAGTTGTAGCAATAGCTGCGTGCACACCTGAAGACAGCCGCAACTGTGCGAAAAGCAGCTGACACAGCAGTGACAAAAGCAATAAAGCACCAGCTATAGAAACGACGGCTGGAAAAGACAGTAGCAGGTAAGTGGCAGTCGTGCCAATGCCACAAACAAAAATAAACACGCCAGCAGCAAACCCAGCGAAGAATGCATTCGGACCTTCCTGAATCGGAGTATCTTGACCTTCCTCCCGCAGAAATTTGGGCTTTAGAACTGAACATGTCTAATCTAGCCACTCTTGGGAGAAGGCACTATTTGGGGTGTAGTGCACAGGCGCTATTGTTCCCCGAGTGAGCATATGGTGACTTATTCCGTGCAAAGGACGCGATAAGATGTAATACTAGTGCTAAATCAGATTAAAAGGGCAAAAAATAGGACCAACTGGCTAAGAGCGCCAACTGTAGTGTGCAGGCACTACAATAGGGCTTGCTGGTGACCGATAGAGGATAGCTGACTGATGATCTATAAGCGGTTAAGAAGTTGAGGCGCGGATTGAGCGCTGTAACCTCTTACTAGTGAAATAAAAAAGCAATTTGTTGGCAAAATAACATGTATAAACTAGAAATGTCTGCGAATGGCCTGAGATTGGGGCTGTCAACAACACTGGCACCGGTGCCTGTGACATCCTCACCGGACCAGCAAAGCAAGAACCATGAGAGGTGACTTTTATGAAAAAATGGTCTTTTTAATAATTGAGTAGACGTTACGCGACCGATGTGTCTGTAGTAGAGAAGATTTCATGGAGCGCCAGAGTTGTGGGTCGTGCAGCATCGTAGACGCTGCAGAGAACGCAGTGTTTTACACCGCCCGTCAGGGTCGGCGCTCAATGAGTTGCCGTGGCGCCAACCCACCTTAGGGGGTCAGAGTCAGAAGACCAGATCTTTATTATCTCCTTTTCATGAATCAAGCGGACAGAAACATGAATTAAGTCTAATTACGTGGATTTAAGGAATCTTCGTGCGACATTTTGGGATGCAACTCACAGAGAAGCACTCAGGTCTATATGCAGTGGCAACAGTAATTCAGCTCCTGCACAACTCCGTGTAGTGCGAAAGGATACGGATCGAACCAAGGTTATACGACGCTTTGAGTGGAGGCAGAGAAAAAGATGGAAAGAGACAAGTATATCCTTGCAAAAGCGGAGGGGACTGTGTAGTGAGGTGAATTCAACTCAACCTGTAGTGTACGGGCTGTAGTGTGCAGCCTTCTGTGCTGCTACGATGTTGCCACCTGGCCCACGAATAGGGCGCCCTTTGAAGACCCCTCTACTTTTGACGCATCTCTCATGAAACAAATACCTAATTATCAATAAAGGTAGTCATCTTTCGGGTTCTCAATCACGACTTTCTAAAACTCGCACACTCATAGTTCTTGCTTACTTGACCCCGTTGGGCTCCCGGCGTTATCGCCAGCCCCAATCTTCGCGTATTTACAGACAAGTCTAGTTTACACATGCTGTTTTTCTGAGAAATTGTTTAACTTCGTTGCTAGTAAGAAGTTTTCGCGCTCGTTCAGCGTCTTAACCCCCTAACCTCTTAGATGTCACCACTTAGCTACCCTCTCAAGGTGTAGTGCCAGGCACTACAATTGACCTTCGTCGCCACCCCTCGAGGCTTAGTAACGCGAAAGGGCATAAATAATATGGAATATTTTAAGGCATAAGGCACCATTGGATATTAGGAAATCATAAAAGGGAATAGAGTGCTCGCTAGCCAGCACCGGGTATGGGGCTGGATGCGAGGTTGGTGCCGTGACTCAGGCACTGACCCTCAGCGAGGGTCAACAGTCAGTTCTATTATTTTGGGTTTTTGTCACCTCTCAATAATATGAACTCAGTTGTATATGGCCATTTAGGGTATACAGCAGCAGTTGGCGAGAATCATGGATTTTAGATAGTAGATGCAGAGCGTGCACTTAGTCAGACTGGCCCAGGGACCATACGTAGTAACAGTGTAGGCCAGCTGCTCACTACATTTGGGGCCTGCTCCGGGATATAAAAATTAAAATAAATTGAGAAAATTATCGAGCTTGCTTTAGAGGGGAAGATCCTTTCCTTTCTCTCTCGCAAAATCCGAAGTGACCTCCGCACCTAAGTGAAAAGGGGGATGAACATGCACCTACGCAACGGAAAAGTGGTACAAACTCCACCAGAACCGAACGCAGGAATGCCTAATACAGTTGTATCAAGTAAAGAAACCGCGGGGCACCCTATTGAGTCGAAACGAACAGAACCCGGTCGCGACATCAGCCAGCCCATCGCAGGGGTAGGCCGACCGATACCGAGAAATCGGGACCGCGACGTTGGAGGACACAAGGAATCCGAAATGAATCAAGCTAGGATGGAACCGGGAATGGCCGAGTTCTTTCGGCAATTCGCCTCTCAGATGGCACTGGGGTTAGTGCATACGTCCCAGAGGTCCATTGGGTACGAGGACGGCAAGAACATGAGGAATTTCCTTGACCTTGTGGAGTTAGATTTCATTGAACGAGGGCTGGAGGAGCGGCAGTGGGGAGAAGAACTCAAAAGATATCTGACGGGCGACGCCTTGGGTTACTGGTTGTATCTGCGTCGCACGGGAGTACCCCTGACTGATTGGGAGCAACTGAGACAGCGATTCTGTGCGCAATTCTGTAACATGACAAAGGAGCGGATGAAAGTCATGATAGCGGAGAATGTATGGCGGGGTGATCACCACGCATACTCTGCGCGTTTTGCGACTATCGTGGCCCAAGGGGTATCCATAGCACCAGACCTGTTGGTGGGTTACTATTTGGCCAACCTCCCGGTAGAAATATACCGAGAGATAACTCAAGGGGGAACAAGGAAATTCGCGGACTGGCAGGAAGCAGCCGCAGCACTGGCTACCACGGCGGCACCGTGGAGGGATTCATGAGAAGACCGCCTCCAATTCCAGCAGGACTTAGAGGATGCCAAGCGTAGATGGGCTAACGGGGGGCAAGAGCCGGGTCTACAACGCGAACGAGAGAGCAGGGGAAACAGACGGAATGACACTACGGACTCACGCTGTTACGCGTGCAGCGGAAGGGGACATGTGAACAGGGACTGTCCGCTCCGCAATGGAGCGACGCGACGGATTGGGGAAACGTGCTCCAGGTGTGGGGGCCGCGATCACTACGCTAGAGACTGTCCCACGTCGGCTCGACGCAGAGCAGAGCCCGTCAGCGCAGACAGCAGCCAATGCGGCCCAACGTTGACCAATCGGGGCATTTAAACGGACGAGCCTAGCCGTTAAGGGAGACGAGCGTGCTAGGCGGTCCAGGAATGGTAAGGGTGCGATGTGCGCAGTAGCGTCAGGGCCTAACTCCATTCCAGTCTCCCCAGATTGGGGCAAGAGGTTGCTTAGTCGGGAGGAGCAGGAGCGTGCCGAGGGTCCGGACATGGGGGAGATCCAGCAACCCTCGGCAGACCGGTCCCACGCCGGGACTACGTTGCTAATTGAGGATGGGTCGAGGCCTAAACGGGACCACAGCGGCGAGCTAAACGGCGCCGCAGCTGAAGGGGACCGTACGCAGGACACGAACACTAAAGAACCACAGTGGTGGCGCGAGCAGAGGACGCAGGAAGACACCACTTCCAAGGGGACTCTGTGTAGTGTGGGTATGACCGCCGTATTAAAAGTCGAAGTGACCGGAAGCCAGTACGAAGCTCTTCTAGATACGGGCGCCTCTAGGAGCTTCATTAGCCCAGGAGCGGTAGAACGCCTACAGCTGAAAGCGTGGAAGCTGCCTGAGGAATGTGTGTTCACCGTAGCTAACGGTGCGCAGTTGAGGATAGATCGCGTGGTGAAGGGACTCACTGTGTGGTGAGGGGCTACCCGTTTAGCCGGCGACTTCTTAGTCGGGCCTGTGCCATATGACCTAGTGGTGGGGCTTGATTGGCTGACTAACCATAGGGTAGCGTGGTATTTCCAGTCTGATAAGCTACGTACGTATGTGAATGGCCAGTGGTGCGATCTACCTGTTGTTCGCGCCAACGATGTCACACAACGGAATGGCAGTACTCAAGGGACGCGTCAGCGGACCCCCGCGGAGCAGGCATACGATATACTGGCTAAGCAGGTAGCAGACATGACTAGGGAGGAGGCTACGGCACTTCTACGCCCGCCCCTCAAGAGGTACAAGCCACCCTCAAAGGGCAAACGGAAGGCAGTGGTCGCTGCTCTGATACAGCAGGCTAAGGAGAGCAAAGCCTGCATACGCCACCCACTTCAAGGGCTCTACGCTATACTAGCTCTTCCCGCGATGGAGTCGAACGTGGCTCTGCGTCTAGTGGAGGAGTGGCAAGGGGCTTTATGTTGTGCCATGGTCGAAACCTCCCCTCCCAACCCCCACCAGCATGTCTTAAGGCTCTACCCGTTTCCGCGCTTCCCGACGAAGAGGAGACATCCCCTTGGCCAACGGCCAAACTCGAGTACTCGCAATTCGATACGTGGCTAACTTCCGTGGAGGCGCAGGCAACTCCCCGTGCGATACTGGATGTGTTGTGTGCTCACCGTGCGGTCTTTCCGGATAAACTTCCTACAGGGCTGCCACCGAAGCGCCCCCATGATCACCGTATCCTCCTCGTGCCAGGGAAGCTCCCTAAGAAGTCGGCGATCTACCGCATGACCCCAGAACAGCTTCAATTTCACAAGCAGGAGATAGGTAAACTGTATGCTAATGGGTGGATTGGCCCCACTTACTCTCCTATCTGCGCACCTACGATTATGGTAGATAAGCGTAGCGATGGAACGGGCGAGCGTAACATGCGTATGGTTGTCAATTACCGGGAGCTGAACGCTCTTACGACCGCGCCTGATTTTCCCCTACCACCTATTCAAACGATTCTTGAGATGCTAGGGGGTGCCCAATACTTTTCTACTCTTGACCTCGAGTCAGGATTCCACCAGATAAGGATGGCTAAGGAGGACAGGTAGAAGACCGCTTTCCGTTCTGTTATGGGGCTATTCGAGTATAGGGTCATGCCCTTTGGCCTCAAGGGCGCGCCCGCTACCTTTTAGGCCAATATCAATGCCTACCTCCAGCCTTTATTAGGTCAGGGAGTCATCGCGTACCTCGATGATGTCCTCATTTACAGCCCCGACCTTCCCAGTCACGTTACCCTCCTCCAACAAGTGCTACGTATTTTCCTCGATCAGCAATTTTACCCAAAGTTCTCTAAGTGCAAGTTTGCGAAGCGGGAGCTTACCTACCTGGGCTATACAGTCAGCGCGGAGGGCATAAAACCCGCAGCAGACAAGATTCAAGTCATCAAGGCGTGGCCCGAGGTGTTGGAGAACGAGACGCAAATCCGTCAGTTCCTAGGCACCGTTAATTATTGTCGCATGTTCATGGGCCCGGATTTTGCTAGGGTCGCCCGCCCGCTCGTCGATCTCACACGCAAAGGTGCCCCCTTCCAGTGGACAGACGCCCATACTCAGGCGGTACGCCACCTCAAGCAGCGTTTGATTGATTACACCACCCTACAGATTCCTGACACCACGAAACCCTTTGAGCTATACACGGATGCTTCTGGCTATGCAATTGGCGCGGTCCTCGAACAGGCCAGTCAGCCAATAGGGTTCCTCAGTCAGGCCATGACCCCCACGCAGCAGAAATACTTGATCTATGACCAGGAGCTTTTGGCCTTAGTGTCTGCACGCGACAAGTGGGCACACTTACTGCGACCTATCAAGGTCACGGCACACACCGACCACCAAGCCCTTACACACTTACAGCAGCTCAAGGCGTCGAAGCCTCTCCGCGGCCGCACTGTCCCGTGGCTCGATTTTCTGGCTGAGTCCCCCGACCTCACTATTACATACA